GCCCTTATGGAACCCTAAATTTTGCAGCTTTGTTRAAAGTTACCATGTGCCCAAGTTAAAAGATCAATTTTTTTACATCAAAGCTTGAAACCTGAATAACTAACATTTTATGATAAATGGCTGCCTGACCCAGGCCTTAATGATTTCAGCAGGCAACAGTATGTTGTTTACTGGTAATAATAAAACTTGAAGTTGATTGAACTCGATTCATCYCAAAAAAGGCTTGGAAAAAGTTCAAGCTTTTTTGTTCATAGCAATGTTTTGGTTGTTCTCTGACACTTRGTAAATAATTAACACTTATTGACTATACCTCAGTAAAGTATGTTTCGTGGTCCCTTAACTGGTGATGTTTCCCTCAGCTTTGCCTCACAAAACATTGGCAGTCAATAAGTGTTTTATTATTTTCAATATTTAAAAATATTACTTGACTCCAAAATAAGTCAAACCTTGGAAATGGTTGCTTTTTYCCCCGGCTCAGCCCTAGGGGTATAAAAGTTTGCTGTATTAGCATAGACTTTGTTTAYGTGTCAATGCCCATAATAATTCACTCACCAAAACAAAAACAAAAAAATGTTGGAATCAAAAGGCTAAATTAAATATTGCTGATAAACCACTGTTGAATTTGGTCTATATGAATATCATGATGTCATATGAAGCTGGCCTTTAAAACTAATAAATATTACATCATTTTTTTAGGAAAGAGATGAATTTTCAAGTAGCTCAGATTCATCATCTGAATACAGTACTACAGAATATTCACTCACAGAGAATGATAGTGAACATGAAGAACTGAGTTCCACCAGCAGTTCATCAGATAGTGAAGAGGAAGTGTGGAATGGAGTTCTACAAGAGCATGTCGCAAGGGATATTAATAATGCACCTCCTGTTCCAGAAGCAGTGCACAACCAAAGCCCATTACAAAGAGTTAATTCTCTAGTATTTTGGTTTGTCTATTTTCTGCTCTTATGGCAAGTCACATGTCATATTAGTGACAATGGGATGGCTTGGCTCTTACGATTTATTGTTGCCTTGCTCAAGGTCCTTGGTATGGAAATATCAAATGGAGTCCTGTCTAGGATAATCACAATATTCCCAGGTTCATTGTATTTAGTGAGACAGTTTCTACAACTAGACAGAGACAACTTTAACAAATTTGTTGTTTGTCCCAAATGCTGCAAACTTTACAGATATGATCATTGTCTCCAAATCATCAACGGCAAACAGTTTGCAAAAAAATGCACAAATACACATTACCTTAGAGGAAGGAAAAAAACGTGATGCAACTTTGCTAACAAAGGTATCACTCAAAAATGGAAAATGTTGTTTCTATCCAATCAAATACTATTGTTGCAATAGCATAATTGAAAGCCTTGAACAACTTGTACAAAGAAAGGACATTGTGAATGAGTGTGAAAAATGGAGAACAAGAAAACTACCAGACGATGTGATAGCTGATGTGTATGATGGACAGTTGTGGAAAGACTTTGAAGTTGTCAAAGGAAAGAATTTTTTAAAGTCCCCAAGGAATTATGGCTTTATGTTAAATTTTGATTTTTTCCAACCCATGAAACACAGGAAGGACTATTCTGTTGGAGTATTTTATTTGGTTCTGCTGAATCTTCCAAGGGCTCAAAGATTCAGATCGGAAAATGTGATTATTGTGGGAATTGTGCCATCTATGGACAAAGAACCTAAAAACTTGAATGAATTTCTTGATCCTGCTGTGAGCACTTGCTGCATTTTTCATTGCACCATGGCAAAAAAGCTCAATTTTTTTTTTCTGTAGAAAGGAAAATTCTCTGTTTCTTGATTCTGTTTCAATTACCAATGACTGGAAATTACCCCCAAAAATGTGTATGTGTGTAGGAGGGAAGCCGGGGACTAAGGCTATAAAAATATGAGACCAGTATGTCCAATTAAAAATTTGTGTGTTGGGGAGGGGGGGGGGGTTAGGAGGATAAGATGGGCAAATTTAGTGAATATTAGCAAAAAGTAGAGGGGCTAACCCCCCCACCTCTGCTATACCTGATTATTTGCAAAAGCTTACTGACAACTCCCAGATGACTTTGGCAACCACGCTTCATTCACTAAGCACAGTTGTCGACCAATTAGAGCATGCATACTAAGCTTCCTTAGTATGAACAAGATACTAATTAATTCATAATTTACAATCACACTAGTATCCTACCTTAGGTTTCGCTCTTTCTTGTAATCTAGTTTGACTTGGCCCAACTCCATCTTTAGAATTTCCTCTCTCCTCAACATCTCGTGGTGGTTTTCGATTGACAAACGTAGAGAAATTCTAGCAAGTCTCTCTCGTCTTGTTAGGTTTCGATTAGCTAATTTCTTTTTCTTATTTCTTCTTAATCTCTTGGCCCGCAAAGTATCAATATTTCTTTTTCTTTCCCTTGAGTTAACCTCCCCTTGTTGAGAAGCTTCGGCATTTTCCCAATGTCAGCAAGCCCAGTGTTGTTCTCGCACATTTTGCTACTAAGAACCCTCCGATGTGGGGGATCAATAGCTTGATTACGCGAATTGGTGCCTAAACAATCTCGTCGAATGGAGGTCAAATCAATCCAACAGGTTTAAAGTTCACGAAACGCTCTTCATCTCCTTGGAAAAGCTCAAATTTGATGATGAAGACCGTATTATTTTGGAAGATGGCGCCAAATGATTCCAAATGATTTATATCAAAATATGGCCCACGTCATTTAGCAGATCATATTTCTGTTCAAAGTTCACCTACTAGTCACGTATATTTTTTGACCCTTGGATTCTATTTTAGATTTCTTCAGTTGCATATTTGGTTAGAACTCACCTTGATTGGTCAGTGAATTCGATATGGGCTATCATATATCATTGGTATAAAATGATTGAGTTGCAATTTGCGCGGTCTTTTCAAGTGAAATAGTCTTCTGTTATATTGCAACTTCAAATTCGGTTAAACGTTTTCGTTCATTCATCATGGAAAATCAGCAGTCCGAACAGCCTACCCTTCCAGATCAATATGTTGTACTGTTGGAGAAGGTTATAGAAGGAAACAGGACAATCGCTACTGAGAATAGGGCTCTTAGAGAGCTGGTTGCCTCAAGGAACGAGTCGATCACGCGCCTTGAGGAGAGACTCAAAAATTCGACATCTGATCGCCAGCCATCTTGTCGTAGACCACGTCGACAACAACGAATCCAAGTGCCACTTCTATGTAGGGTAAGTTATAACATAATACGTGTAGGAGTCCTATAATTTTATAGACAATCACCATAGTCCATCCACATTTTCTTAACGATAAACCTATTTTCTTCTTTCATGAAATCACACGAATAGCTTATCCGATAAATAATCATCCTATGTGCTAGAAAGATCAACGTTTTTTAGTATACGAAGGAAAACTTAGGCCTTGAACACAACCTCGTACCATAGTTAATTAAACAAATTGGGCTTCCTGTGCCCTAAGTACTGAGCACGCGCAAAAATCTTAGCAGGCGTTCCTGAATCAGGATGGGAACTATAAGCCCGCAGTGTCGTTCAGTTTTGTTTTAATTAATAATTTGTTTTTACTTTTCAGAGACAAACAAGAGGAAGTTACGTCTTGTTAAATAAAGATGACTTCGAGGGCTACCATTTTGATGAATCGTAAGGGAAATTATTATGACTAACTGTTGCAGATTACAAATACAAGGCGATCAATTTCCTAAATCCTTTAATTACCGTTTAACCTTAACACTTATTCTGTTTAGATTTGAATCCCAACATAACCAAAGTACGACTGTAAGAGTTATGGAAGATGTACTACACCAGAATGGAGGGGAACAAAACTGCCCATGGGCCAAGGCGATAATCCACGGTAAAGTAGCTAAACAATGTGACAGGGTTCGTGCTACTCCTAAACTCCTTGAGTTTTATTTACATTTTCAAGGGCACTTGAAGCTCTTGAAAACTCCTTGAATTTTTGTATGTGATGCACACTTTGAARGGTCTCCAATAAATCCAGTTATCAGAAATGTTTAAATTGGATATTGCTCATTAGGCAGCTTGATACACTTCTTGTTTTGAGTCCTAAAATACTCCCTGAATTTTAAGTGGATATMCCAGCACGTACCCTGCATCTAAGCTCATGTTATCTTCATCTTATGTATAGTTACTAAGCTTGTGGACCAAGCTATAATTTTATGCATATACTATGAACTCAAGGACTTATATACAGTAAGAGTAATTAAGAAAAAAATGAAAATTTTGCCACAAATTATAGCTAGTGTCGTGTGTAAGTAGGAATTAATTGTTCTTGTTTTTTTTCCTAACACTACATCTGTCTTTGATTTCAGTGGCCATTAAGCGTTACTTTGTCTCCTTGATGGAGAAAGATAAGAAAAAGAAGGACAAAAAGTATGACGAACATCAGAGGGCATGCAGGAAACAGGGCCGTCGAAGAGAGGTATGTATTAAAACCAAAAGTTTTGCTGTATAGGCATTTAAACAATTGGAGGATATATTGCAATACCAATTTCTTATGAAAAGTAATATGCAATATTGCAATCATATTTCATACCTTCAAGCTTACTGGGTGAAAAAGCAGCATGTCAGACATTTATGGGAAGCATGGTGGCATTTAGTTGAGAGAACTTACCTCTCACCAAGGTGACCCAGGTTCAAGCTCTCCTTGGGTTCAGCAATGATGAGTTGATTATTGACATCAGACGATAAATGATTGTGGTGATCTTGTAGCCTTATGTTTCGTGTAATCTAATCATTAGTGCATATTTGTCTTGTAGAAATTATTACGAAGAACTGCAGCACTGGAGAAAGTCATAGACTGGGATGTCCATAAAAGGGGTCAGGCTGCTGAAGTGCTGGTACATGAAGCAATGAGCAGTGAAGAGAGTGAGTTCGAGGAGGAAAATGGGAGGACAACGCTAGTGGGCTACGAGATCAAACGCCTACCTTGGGAAAGTAATAAACTGAAAAGAATCAAAAGAAAGCTGGACCGGCCATATCGTCAATCAATGACTAAGAGAGCTTTGGAACGAACATTACCTAGATCAGATGCAAAGGATCCTTCAACTCGAACAGCCCCTGTTCAAACTCTGCCAGATTGGGCAATAATCAATCGTGATTAGGTCTAATAGGTAAAAATAAGGTAGAGTGCAAGCAGTATGACTGTGAAACTTAAGCATAACAAAATTGCACAAATTTGAGCATAATCCTTTATTTTCTTTGGTTTAAAAAGTAATTTGTATTATTTCACAGATATACTGTTTGCACTCTAACCTTTAGACACAAACCTAGTTAAAATAATCATGATAATGGGATATCTGAAATGGTTGATCTGAGAAGACTGAAAGGAATTGTGGATGTCAACATAAATKTTTCTTAGTCATATGCCATATGCAGCCTTTGAACCTATGCTTGTCTGATACTGTAAGTTTTCAATATTTATCAGTCTTCCACAATTCCTTATGCATTCTAGGATCTCCTTGCCTGTTCTTATTAATTGACATAGGTATGGTAATCTATGTACCTCAGTTTGTGCTACAGAATCCACACAACTGTGAAAGTTTTGTTAATTTAAAAACTGAGAACCAGCAATTAAAGGCAAGTGTAAGATCTTTGAAACTGAAAGTGAACAGGATGGATAGGATGATACATTTRCTGACTGAAGCTACTAAGAGCCCTGTAATGTAAACTAAAGGTATGAAAATTTACTTAATGCTAACAGTCACTCACCAATGCCAGTTTGTGTGCTGCTTCTCAATTATGTAAACTTTTTTTATTAGGCTGTCAAACKGAGGCAAATGAAAGTCAAGAAAYGCATCCAGACCAAGAACTCTTATCAGAACAAGAAGTAATCTCTGATCAAGAAATGCTTTCCGACTCAGAAATTGATGAGGAAGTCAACAGAGTATTGGAATGTGGTGACAGTGACCATGATTTACCTATGGAAGGTGAACCTATATCCTCTCCCAAAGGGAAGGACGGAGAAGTAGATGATGTGGAAAATATTAACCAAAGGTAATAATTAAATGTGCCTCCCAGTTTCATGAAACTTTTCTTTCAGTATAATGCTGCAAAACYCTATAAAWATTTTATGTTATRAGTAATTGCATACAAAAAAATTGATAGACTAAAAAWAACTCAATGCAAACAAAAAAAGTTATACACCTGGCCCAACATATTGATATATTTGATTTTTTTTGGAAAATTCTACATCATTCAATTTTTCAGATTGGAYATAGATGGAAAAAACTGCAGAGAAGAACCAAAAGCTATTGTCTTTTCATCAAAATTGCTTCTCCTATTCCAATTTTGCAACATCTGTCGCCACCCAAAGCCTTCCATCACTACCAGACAGTCTGGGACGATGATAATTGTGGAGACAAAATGCCYTAATTGTCTAGAGTGCACCATGTGGACAAGTCAGCCACTACTGCTTGGAAGGTTTCCTGCCGGGAACGTTTTACTAAGTTTTGGGATATTATGTGCTGGAGCTTCAGTAAAGAAAGTTTTATTGGTACTGAGGCATATCAACGTCCTTGTGTATAATGAGTGCACCTATTACTACCACCAAAAGAATCTGCTGATCCCTGCTATTGTCAGCTTCTGGAGAAAGTACCAGGCACGTCTGCTAGAACAACTAAATGGGGTGGCTGTTACACTCGCTGGGGATGGCCGTCATGATAGTATGGGGCATTCAGCAAAGTATAGCACATACACCATATTTTGCTGTACAATAGGCCTCATAATCAACATAATATTAGTTCAGGTATGTTGAAATGAAACCATATGTCTAGAATTTACATTGTAACTGTGAAAACAGGGGTGGATTTGGGTGTGGGTTGATTTAGGGGTGGGTCGATATGGTCATGGCCCACTTTTAAGTTAAATAGCTGGAAACAACAATGATTCAACTTTTATCGGTTTACATGTTTGTATCAGGACAAAMTTTCTGGCTACCCCTGGAAAACATCAGCATTTCAGGGATGTAGAGAAAATGATGAATATAAAAAAACAAAATTTTCATTACTTTGTGGTTGTGCTTTTTGTTTACAGGCAAATGAAGTTGGCAGTAGCACAGAAATGGAATTTGCTGGCCATGAAAGATCCATCCTTTTTCTCCTCACCACCGGAATTGTTATCAAGCAATATGTAACAGACAGACACTCCGTAATAACCAAATGGATGAAAGAGCAGTGCCCCCAAATATGCCAACAGCTGGCGAAACCCAAAATTGACCACTTTTTTGACCTCTGGCATATTGCTAAGAGTAAGTTACAATGACATGCCAAAACATGATGATGATGATCACTATTATAATACAAATCCTGCTCCTCATCATCATCATGATATTAGCTTACTAAACAACCAACATTAGAGTTATAAAACTGAACTACATTGGTGTAAGGAAGAAGTATTGTCACAACTGTGTATCAAAAAGTGAAAAAAAAAGATGCA